CGCAGTGCAAATCTTCAGAGCAAAATTCGTACTCGGTTCAGTTTTGTTTTTGTTTGTTTGTAATTATGATTTTCATTTTACTTGATACAAAATTTATACTGTCTTTTTTACATTCAATGAGTGTAAATTTTGCATCCCAAAAACTGATGCAAAATTTGCACCAACTTCCCGCTACCTCAGTTCTTTCTCTATTTCTCATATAAAGTGGAGATCATCTTGCATCCTACTTACTCTAAACAGATAATCCAGCTCCTATCTCCATTCTCTTTCATAGGCTGTGTTTAATTTGAAAGAAAGGGCAAGAAATGATAGGGAAGCCTACATGAAGCAAAAGTAAACCAAAATTTACACTCATCCCTTTTACGCTTCCATGAATTTAGACCATGGTGAATGAAGTTTAGACTGCAACCAAACGTAGCCTTATATTTACAACACACGCATGGACTGACATTTGTATGTGCAGAAACTCTTGCAATTCCATTCTCCTCATTGAGAAGTAGCATCCATCTTTACCATCATATGTAAATACTTGCTAAGTGCTTCCTAGACCACCAGTTACCAAACTCCCCATTACAATCATAGAACCCTGTGCAGCCTACAGATTCATGAGATTTCCCCTTGAGAAACCCAAATGGGCCATGTGAAAACAACTGCTGGTAGAATCTTAAGGGTAGATTTGAAATTGAAGTCGAGGTGCCATTTCCTTGATCCAAAAAGTTAGTGTACAAGTAAAGGGGAAACCTTCTAGATAAATCAGTAAAATCTAAATGAGAAGGGAGCCTAGAATAAACATTGGCATTGGCATCTATTTTTGATTTGCAATTTACTCATTCCCATTGTTCCCAAACTTCATTGTGTTCCTATAAGCAAAGCATTGATGTGATTGGGTTGTGATGTTTCCTGAGAAGACTTCACCCTTCCAGCCAAAAGAAAAGACCTACTTGTTGTAGTAAGAAAATCTCCATTTGAACCATTGAAGTCCGAAACTAAGGTGATCACTAGAGGTTGGACATCATATTTAATCAACTTTCCTTTAGTTCTAGCAATTTGTTTATCCAACCATACGTGCAAATTTGCATCTATGTACACACACACTAAGAGCATTTGTTACACTAAACCCCAACTGGTGCTGCCTTCCATCCAAAACTTTTCCTATGAATGGAGTAATATCAATATCATATGAAGAGAGATCAAAAGAACCAATTCCAGAGATGGGTCTCCATAGCAGAGGATTGATCCCTCCAGTGTATATCACAGTAGAAGGCCAGACAACCCCAACTTATCATCAATACTAATTATAACCTCCCTAAAAGGGCCATTTCTTGGAGTCTGAGTAAGATTATGGAAATCAATTCCTTAACTCTCCACGACCACCTTAAATTACAATTTTAACATTAACGTGCAGGGCAAGTCACCTAACACCAAACAGGTTTATATTTCAAAATTCTTCATTCTGTTTAGACGCATATGGGACATTTGCAACTGGCAGAGAAAGCTGGACCCTATGGACAACCACAAGCAATAAACAAATAGTTCACAAAATCCCCCCAGAAAAATCCTGAAGCCTACATATATGTTGATGGCTCATACGATCCAATAACAGGAGCAGCTGGAATAGGTTACGTTATTCTAACAAATAGTTCACCAAACCGCATCAAACGAGTGTGTCTAATATGACTGAATCATTTGCTATGCCAACTATTTTTATTTTATCTTTTTCTTTTTTTTTTTCTTTTAGAGATGTATATATGATTTCGACCGCAGAAATTTGAAATGTAAATAGACATAAAAAAATGTTGATGATAGAACACTAACAAATGTTAAGCCCTAACCTGGAGCCTAATGTGTCAATGGAATCCGAAAAAAAAAAAGAGCAATGGCAGTTGATTATACCTGAACACGGTGAAGAACATTTAGTAATTAGCCTCCTACAAGAAAAGATGTCTATTAGTACTTGATGGAAGAATATTGGGCTTTTAAAAGCCCATTAAATCTTTCAAAAAGATTTACCAAACAGGGCCTAAGTTGTTACCAGACGACCCTAAGTGAAATTTATGGTTGTGGAAAAAGAAGTTGAGGCTGAAGGACGGGAGGTGGCAAAGAAAAGGTTAACATTCTATTGTTCAGCTTGAATATCAAGGAACTGGTATGTAGCCGATACATGTATACAGGCATTTGTAAATAGAACCAAGTATATGCATTAAATTTTCTCTATTGTATGACACTAAACTAATTTCACCATATTTTATTGGCCATTTGGGCTGATGTGTGGTTGTTTTTTTTTTTTTTTACATGGATAGGTGGTTTCTGTCCAAATCACTTGGCTCTAACCTCATAAATTAAGGATGAAGAATTGTTATTGTTCCAACAATGCACCACCATAGTGCATTGAAGGACGATTGACTAAGGCTTTCAACATGATCAAAAAACTGTGCCCTCCCCTCCGTAGAAGGGTATACATAAACACAACAACAGTACCATTGCATATACGCTGGCCAATTAGTGACTTTAACAACAATATGGGATGAAGAAGAAGAAGACATAACTTGTACATTCATAGACTTGTCCCAGCCAAACATTACTAACCCTCCTGATCGACCGACCAGTAGCAGGGCGGGACAACAAATTTATGAAACTGAGAACTGAATTTTAACAGCCTGTGAGCTTTTGGAATGGTACACTTGGTTTCTGAAAGAAAGAACTTAGGTTTAGGTCGATGGAGGCGTAGGAGTTTTATCAGCATTGGTACTGTCAAAGGACTTCCCAAACCTGGCCAGTTCCAACTTCCAAGTGAATGAAGTCATGTCTCCGGTGGAGGTGATTGGGGGCTCAGGCTCACCTCCCTAGGCCCTGTAGCATTGAGTGAAGAAGCAACAAGAGCATTATTTGAGGAAGAAGATGGAGATCTCCTTTCTGGTCATACGTATAGCACGATGATAGTGTTGCTGAAACAATCGGAGAGTGTAGTTGCCTGTTTCGAGATGGCCCATCAGTAGCAATGGAGATGGGAGTTGTGCTCTCTGAAATCCTCATAGCGGCAGATCCGTAACCAAGCGACGGATCAGATGTAGGCATATCAAAGGAAAGGGAGTTATAGAGTATTTTCCTCCAATCCTTGCCTGATTTGGTGAGTTATGCCGGCGAGCAACCACCTCTACAGATCCCGGCGTCTGTTCCATCGAAATCGAACCACCACTTGTACGGTTGTACCCTTCTTTTATATTCTCTCAAATAAAATGCAAACCACTTGTGTTTTGCTTCTTCCAAACAAACAACACAAAATTTGCACGGCAAACAATTGGAGACAAATGTGTGATGAGTTCCCCCAGCGTATCCTAGCATTTTTTAAACACATCCCAAATACCCTGTCACAATATTGGTTCTTTGAACCATGGTTACATCAAACACTCCCCTATCAATAGGCAAAAATGCAATGAAGATTTAAGGCATTCATATATTTCAGAAACACAAAAGTTCAAAGCTTACAAAGAACCGAGACAAACATGAAAAAGAAACATAACCTGTAGTTAAAGCAACATATCATCTGGTACATCGGTACATTTCCCCCATATCAAAAGTGGGAAAATGAAAGCAGAAAACAAAAACGGAAAATCTACGCTCCACCTATGCCATCAGAAAGGGGGGGAAATCCAAAACCAAGGATTACACAATACATGAATATCAATGATAGTACATGAGTTGCTGATTGGATGAGTTGTTTGGATAACCATCATACAAGGCCTGGGATCCACCAGAGCTCAAACCCATGGATGCTGCTGCAGCAAGGCCCTGTTGTCCAGACATCTGCATAAGAGCCTGGCCTGTTAATCCAGAACCAGTAGCCTGGCTCAAGGCAAGTTGGCGCTGGTAGGCCAACAAATCTGCTGCCGAATAGCCCTGGTTCATTCCAATTGGAAGGATCTGGAAAGGGGCAACTGGAGGAGGCAGTGGGTTCGAAACAGTACCTGGAGGAGTAGGCTTGCTACCCCATGAACACTGCACACAGACATCCAAAAGGCATTTGTAATACAGATCAGTACCAAGACAAATGCTACACAACCAAGATCTTATAGTACAGCCCCAATTCTACAAGGTAGCTTCATACAAGCTGTCATTCACAGCGAATCCATGAATAAAAGTTTTGGCACTTTCAAGATTAGAACTTCATTAAAGTACCAAATCGCAGTGACTATGAGGTATCTCTAGAGACGCCACCATAGAGAAAACCTTGATGGCTAGGGACAGAAAGCAAACTGATAGGTAACTGCAGCCATCTCACCAGATTGTTTCAACCATAAACCATATAAATGAACTCAGTAAGCTGGAGTAAGATGATACTCTAACCAACCAACCAAGGATTAGGCACAGGGTTTAGAAACATGATGGTACTCATGGTACAGATCACTATTCCTTTATATCAAGGATAGCAGACTGTTGCAAACCTTATTCAACTGATAGAATAGAGATTCCCTGTCAGTCTGAACAGTTTCGGTGCGCATTATATGTCTTGGCTCAAGACTCCTGACATACGAAATTAATCCCACATAAATATTCCAAGCTACACAGGCAAGTACTGTACACCATGGTTGAAGCTGATAAAAGACCATTCGTCTTATCACTTCATGCATTGGCTTCAAGCTTCGGTATATTTCATCAATCCCACGTGAAAAGATACCAACCATGTGGTTTCTGTGACCTATTTAGAGCCCTGGTTCCATTGTCTACACTATCATGTCCTAAATATAGTGGTTTATATAAAATGAGGGCCACCAAAGAATACATAAAATGAAAGAGATTAGAATAGAGAAATCCCTCTAATGGAGATATGTTACCTTAATGGATTTTCCTCCACATACTATCCTTCCATTGGCCATCTGAATGGCCAAGGCCGCTTCTTCATGAGTGCGATACCTTACAAAACCAAACCCCTTATCCTTCTGGATGTGCACCTCTTCAATAACCCCCGCCCCAAGGACATGGAACTGACGATGAAGTTCTGCTTGAGTCACCTGGGAAGGAATGCAATAATTACATAGAAAAGAAATAGAGAACCACATGAATGATCACAAGACAAAATAACAAGAAATAGAAAACCAACCGAAATTTTAGCATCACCAAAATAAAAAATAGGGAAATTTGCCAAGGAAAAAAAAAAACAGACGATGGATTTACCATCAGCCTGGTTACCTCATGAGCAAGGTTGCCAACATATACAGTTGTGTAAGCCGGATTATTTTCTGGTGCCTCATTGGTATTTTCAGGACCTCCATCTGTATGGAAAAAGAATAGAGAGAAGGTCATGTTCACTATTTATGGCATCACTATCACCTAAAAACTACTTACATCTTGTCAGTGTTTTAAAAGCGCAAGGCGCAAAAAAGGCGCAGGGGCCAATTTGTGCCCGAGGCGCAAGGTGAGGCACGCACCTTTTTGAAGCGAAGTGCAAAAATACAAACAAAAAAGCTAAAAATCAAAAAAAAAGTCAGAAAATTCAAAAAAATGCCAAAAAATTCAAAAAATCAAAAACAAATATTAAACGTAATATTAATAAAAAATATAAACTTAAATTTTAAAATAAATGTTTTAAAAAACCTATTATTTAAAATTAAAGTACATAAACATAACATGTAAAGCGTATTCAAATGAAAATTTAAAAATAAAATCAAACATATAACACATTTTCAAGCAATTAAAACCCGCAATCTCTTTTTTTCCTCAATTGCATTACTTAAAGTAGCTAATGTGATGTAAAACATATTACATTCCTGATTCTACAAGCCGCCTTTGTGCCACGCCCCTCGAGGCAAGCCCAACCAAGTCCATGCTAGGGTCTTAAATTCTTAGTTCTCACACAAAAATAATGATTTTATCTTTTTAAGAAGATATTTTATTAGGAATAATGAATGAACAACATTAGCAAATAGGGGGTTCATTCATTATTCCTAATAAAATATCTTCTTAAAAAGCAATTAAAATCAAGGATCAAGTATCGGAATCGGGTATCGTATCGGACAAGTTGGATACGGATATAAATACGCTTTGGAAAAGCATGGATACGAACGAAATATATAGAAGTGCTTGGATACGCTAGGAAAATGCATACAAATCTTATAAATACATTAATAATACTAAATCAAAAGCTGAACTATCTATGAAAAATGTATATACACATGAGAAATGCATACTTCAATATATGAAGAGAAACATTACAATCAACAACATCAGAACTCTAGAACATTCAAACATCATACAATAATTATCACTCTATTTCAATTTTTATAATTGTAACTTTTCATATTTTATTAATTTTTTGGGAATATTTATTCATTTAGTAATTTTATATAAATAATAAATATTTTTCATTTTTAACATATATTTTTTTATTTTACATAATATTGTAAAATAAAACATATAAATCATTTAAATTAGATAAAATAAGTTATTTATAATTTTCAGTCTATTTAATTTTAGGGGGAAATTAAATCTTAAATCATTCATTTCATTTTTTACATTAATAATTTTCTGTTTTCCATTAATTTGTTGGGAAAATTCATTTATTTAGTATTTTTTATATAATAACTATTTTTTTCAAATAATAACTATGTTTTCATTTCTAACATATAATTATGTGTAAAATAAAATATATAAATCATTTATGGTAGATGAAATATATAATTTTTAAAATTTTTAGTTTTTATTATTTTTTTTGGAAAACTTAAATCTTAAATTATTTATTTCAGTTTTTATAATTATATACTTTAACTTTTATTAAAGATGAAAAACAATCCAAAAGCAGTTAATATACAATTTTGTCAAACTAGGCACGGATATGCTTTTGTATCCATGCGTATCAGACCGTATCCATCGATACAGCACGATACAATTTGATATAGAGGTGTATCGTGTTAATACGTATGACTCGTGAGATACATACCTAGTCATGGCATATTTTGTATCCATGACCATGGATATGGATATGATACACCCCGTATCGATACGTTAATCCTTGATTAAAATTATAAAATCATTATTTTTATGTGAGAACTAAGAATTTAAGACCCTAACATGGATTTGTTTGGGCTTGCCCCGAGGGGCATGGCACAGGGGTTCGAGGGTGGAGCCCTTGGCCAAGCTGCTTGGTTCAAAAAAGTAAAAAAGCATGCAATTTTCAAAAGGTGCACGACTAGGCATACCAAGCATGCGCCTAGGACCTAGGTGAGGCACATACTACATGTGCGCCTAGGCGCACCTTTTAAATCACTATTCCTAGTATATTTAGTGTTTCAGGAATACTTGGACACTATTCCTGCTATTTGGTTATTTACATTTTCAGGAATACTTGGACAGTGCCCCCAACATGACACCCCAAGACATGTATTAATAGTTTTGTAATGGGTGGGGGGGAGGAAGGCAATTGAACACTTAGAAAAAAAAAAAAAAAAAAACTGAAGGGAAAAACATAACAAAAGGAAAGCAGTTGGGGAAAAGGGGTGACGTTTGGAAGGAAGGTGAAGGGAGAGAAGAAGACATTGTTGATGAAGAGTGAAAGGAGGTTGCTAAAGAGCTTGCAGGAGAGGGAGAAGGATGAAAGGTTAGATGAAGATGGCATCTCAGTTTCTTGGTCACTCGGGCATCACCTTTCTTTCTCTCCAGGATTTGTTCAAGTTTTTGTTTTGGCCCTTTGGGTTTCATTGGGGAAGTTTGGGGTTTCAAAGTTGTATTTTGGTCAATTTTGATTTGTCTTTGGGTGATTAATATTTCCTTGGACTAAATAGAGGTTGTATCATTTTTTTTTCCTTTTAATGAAATTTTCTTTTACTATCAAGAAAAAAAAAAAAAAAAACCTCATGGACCTTTTGTTTCCTAGAGGAAGAACAAGCTATTGCCCCCCAGTTCTTGAAGAAGTCTTCCACTGAAAAGTCTAAGAAAAGTTTCATCATCTTCACCCAATGTGCAACTCCTAGAATTTGATCTCAATAACCATCTCCTTACACTTCTCTTTCTCCCTATTCCTTTCTTCCCAACCTGTCCATATCACCGCAGCCCTTGTACATCTCCACATAATTCTGCCTCTGCTCTTTGTGCTTCTTGCTGGAGCAGGAAGGAGACTCTTTTAGACCTGCTTTTTTCAACAGACAAAATCAGTGATACTTGTTCTATAGATTCTAATATTGATGGAAAGAATAAACAGAACCATGAAGGGGGGAGTGAGACAAAAGAGGATCCAGTGTCCGAGGAGGAAGACATGGAAAGAATATAGACGTAAATCAGTCCTCTAATATCAAGATTAAACTTAGTGATTAGCAGAATAGAACAGATCTGAATAACTGTATAAGAGAGGAAGATGGCGAAGAGAAGAGGTAAGAGAAGAAGAAGTCAAATCAATCACCCTTCTCCTCTAACCCTATTTTATTAATCTCTAAAAAATTGATGATGACAAGTATACCCTTAAGTGGGCGGCCAGCTTGG